CCAATCAGAAAACAGGATTCCGATAATACGAAGCAAAATTTATCGGAATCCTGTTTTCTGATTGGTTGCAGAGCGTTGTACGACGAAAATCGGATGCAGTGTGAATCCAGCATAACGCTTCCTTAAATTTATCTTCAGATGCTCTACAAATTATTTCATTGGCTACTGAACATCTAAAGACAAATTTATCCCGGATCTACAATAGAGTTTTAAGTCTTAATTAAGCCATAAGAAATGGACGAATCATAGTCGATTATTCTCCTCGAATTCGACTGTAATTAATCAATTTCTTACGGCTTAAGGCTTAAAATACCTATTATAGGTCCGGACTTAGGGCGCGTTTACACCTTGACGGAAAAACAGAAAGCGGAAAAGCAGTGGCCAATCACAACTCGCGCTGGTAGTAAGTAGTACAAAAAGCCGAAATTGTCGACTACCAGCGCGAATTCTGATTGGCTGCTGTTTTTCCGTCAAGGTGTGAACTCACCCTTAAGGAAGTACAAGGTCTGACCAGAAAGAAATCTAGGGCCGGTATTCATAGTCAGTTCTTATATTCAAGATCGTCTTAAGTTCAGCCTTGAGGTGTCATGAACCAATCAGAGAGCCGCATTAGCGTATTAAGATTACTTAAGATGGTTTTGAAATAAGAACCGACTATGAATACCGGCCTAAGAGCGGCCATGCCCGAGATTTAGCTACAACCTTATTCTGAAGCGCCTCTATGTCCACAAAACGTGGACATTGAACTACTTAACCAATGTCCACGATCCCGTCGGTAATGTCCACGATTTTTTTATTGTATTCTTCACTATATCCACGATTTTCGGTCCGTTAGATAGACAAAGACGAACAATCGTCGCAGGTATCCTAAATTGCTGCCAATATTAATGGCGAAAGCCATATTCACACTCAATGGCCCAGTATCAGCTTCAATAGGCTGCCGGGCCAATCAACAAGATTATTTTGCTGAGTGCTACACTGCAACACCTTGAGGTCACATGAGAGTAAAATTTCGAAACAATTTTTACGAACCACCCAATTGTAATATATTCCGGATTTTTATTTTCATCCGCTAACAGTTCACAAAAAGCTACTTACATCATTACAAAATACATTTTTGCCTTGTTGACTTTCATTTTATTAAAATTATTGGGGCATCATTTATGCTTAACTTAGGAGTTAATAACAGTTCACAATTATTTTGATTACTTATTAATTCATTAAAATGTTTCAATTTTATTTCGTTTGAAGGTAAATTATAGTTATTTACAATATCTTTAAAAATTGTTATTTCATTATTAATTAAAGCTTTTTTGAGATTTTTAAAAATATGTGGTGGATCTGCTATAACATATAAATACTGACTTGCATCGAATGGATGTACAATCATGTACAATACGATTAACTATTTCAATATGTGTACCGGTGCTATGTACACCGATGCCTAATAATCTCCAGAGTCCAATGTTCCTCGAACCCATATCGGATGTAATAAAGTTCACATGATAAGTTCACCGATTTCCTTGGTTTCATTTACAATCTGAAAAATTATTTCTTTTAATACTTTACTATCAAATTTATTGCCTCTGAAATGGCCCACCACCTGCTTACAACGATTGCAAACACCAACAAGCATAAAAGCCGTGGCATGCGTAGCATCACCTATCATTAGGAAACATTATGTTACCTATTTGTGATCCAGTTGAAGGATTACAAGATTGCTTTGATGTAATTGACATTTCATCAAATATTAACCCACACTAAATCAGACTTATTTTTTAAATAAGGTTCCTTCATTTTTAGAAATTGTAATATTTGTTCGGATATTCCTGGTTGAAATTGAAAATCTTATAGTCTTCGCTGTAATGTTCGTACATTTGGAAGTGGATATCCTTGACGGATAAGTTCTTTATATCCATTATTTCCGCATACAAATTTTAATTGCAAAGCGCGTTGAATTGTGTCACTTGACCATGTTCTAACGCAACGTTTTTTTGTAAACAAAGCTTTAATTTGACAGTCAGTAAAAACTGACTGTAAAGCTTTTTTATACTTATCATTACTAAGCTTATTTTTTAAAATATATATAGTATTCTTCAAAATTTTCATTTCTTTTCGCATTTTAATCATGTTGAGTCGTAGTTTTTGATTAACATCTTCTAATTTTTTATATCGCTTTTCTTCTCTTTCATTACATTTATCTGAACATAAAACTGGACATATCATTGATGTATTAGTCTCAAATGTATCATCAATCACCTAAAATTTATTTCAGAGTTTTAAATATATTCAAGTATGTTATCTTCTAGTAAATGTTATTATTTCAATCTTACCTGATATTCTTGTTTTATAATATCACTAATGGATTGATTTAATTGAATATTATCGATAGGTTGATTTAATTCAGTAAATTCAGTTTTACATGAAGCTGGATATATTGCTGATGTATTATATTCAGGTACATCATTAATCACCTAAAAAATTCGTTTTACAATTTTAAATATGTTTAAATATTAATTTTTTGGAAGTTTTATTATTTTAATATTAACCTGACATTCCTGTTTTTTAATATAAGCAGTAGATTCATTTAACTGAATGTCGATAGATTGATATGATTCATTAGAATCTGTCTTATTATTTGCTTGATTTTTTTCTGTTAATTCTTGTTTAATATTATTTTTCATTGGTTTTTTTTTCAGAAAATACCCAAATATTATGGGATATGCATTTGATTTCAATCTTCGTACATCAGTTCTTGGTTCCCACATCTCTGGTGTGAAATGTACCTGCGTGTATAATAAAAGAAAAGATCAATTTATTCAATAATTATGATTGTTATGAAGAAAATAAATAAAACTTAGAAGGCCAAAGAGTTATTGAAATAATTTGGTAAAATTTAGGGCTAATTACTTTGATCTTGATAATTGCCAAGGTCATAATCCTGAATAATATTTAAAAGATTTTAGCCTTAATAATTTTAATATCTTTGAATTGCTAATTTAATATATGAGACATGTATATAATTAGTGTATTAATTACATACATATAAGAGTGAAAAATGATTTATAATAATTTTTAATGAAAAACATTTTATTAATTTTTTAACAATAAATTTATGCAAATATATTATTTAACCTCGCAGAGAAAAGAATTTGTTGCAGGCGTCCAATTTTTTACACCATTTCCCCAACATTTTTCACTAACATTTTTCGTCCACAAAGCACGACGTTCGGCATTTCGAGGAAATGCTTTTAATATGTAGCCTTTAGCTACTGAGTTATTACAAAATGGAGCTGCACACCCAACCATTTTTAATAATTTTCTTTAACAACTTTTAGTATAAAATATCACAAACATTACGCCTGTTCCATCAGCTGCCGTTAACGCAGGTAGGTTAGAAATGCGTTATGCGTCGAGTCTACAATATGCGAAGAAGCTTGATTTAAGAAATAAGGGGCTGCGTAGAATAAGACTAGGTCCATAACCTGCTTTAAGAAGCATTAAGTTATAAGTCGAAAAAGATTAAGTAACAATAATTTCTGTCTAAGTTGTTTTTGCGCAATTTTTAGGTTTTAACCGTTAAGATGCTTTTCATGCTGACGCTCATTTTCGGCGTCAAAATAAGTCACGTGATAGAAATTGACGACTATCAATTTTGAGAAATTTGATTAAAGAAATTTAATTAAAAAGAACAGATCTAAGATTGAATACTTTTTTTTTTATTTTCCTCGTTCTCTCAAGTTTCAAATAAATTTTACTCTATTTTTTTTAAATCATAGATTTTCTAATATTCTTCAGTAATATCAAAAACTTTTTTAAAATCATTCTTTAACTGTTTGCATTCATAAATATGAAATAAAAGGCCTGTTTTTTTTTGGCTGAACTTTTGCACCAGTTCATCTTTCTTCTTCTTTCCTCCTGAAGAGAAAAGGAAGATAGATGAACTGGTGCAAAGTTTAGCTAAAATAAAGAACAAGCCTAAAATAAATTGTCTAATCGTATTTAAAATGAAAACCAACCTTACCGACCGAAAAAAAACACAAAAATTTCAAATGTTATTGTATTTATTTTTACTAATCTATTCCTATCTTTATTTCAAGTCTTTACACGATAACCTTAATTATGCGCCAGATTGTCAATTTTCATAGACTAATCGAAGCATCAAAACATTGAGATCTTCGATACACTTTTAATTTTATCTCGACTTCGATGTTGTTTTCTTCGACTGTAATTTTAATTTAAAATCTCGTTGGGGGGAGGGGATTCTTCGTCTTTTTCGAATTCAGTTCCAATTTTAATTTAAAAAATTAGAAATTTCTCTCTCTCTCTCTCTCTCTCTTTCTCGGTGAAACTTTAAATCGTTCGCAACGGTTCAGCGACGCCTCATTAATCAAGAAATCCAGGAATTGACTTGGAATTTACTGGAACGAAAATAAAAGTTATAAAATAAATGTAAGGAAAGATTAACAGAAGCGTAGTTTCTAAACGAACTTTCTAAAAGCAAAAATTGAAACAATAAAACTTAAAAGAGATGTCTATACTTTTTTTACGGTTTTGTTACTTCAATTTCGCCTTCTTTGTTTACGCTATTCTATTACGCTCTCCTCTTACACATTCGATTTATATATTAATTTTTATTTTCATCAAACGAATTATCGAATCGTTGATTGTGCAGTTTACTCGGAGTGCGAACATGGCTGCCAGAGGATCGATAGGGATGCGTGAGACATTGAATTCGTTCCACTGCACTGAGTGCACGGTGACTCCTCGCGATTGCTGTCCGTGAACGTCGCCGTTTCCCCGGATATGCTGGGATATGCGGCGCAGTGACGCGAAGACTCGTTCCCTGTGCGCGCGCGCGCGCGCGCATCGTTCAGCTGATTCGCGGTCGACGAGTGAAAGTGCTCCGAATACCTGTCGAGCCGTGAAGACCACGGGGCCTGGTCCGTGTGCAGCGCGATGCGTCGGACGCGAGGTGGTGACGTTTGGCCGTATCGAAAGTTCCTAATGCAACTTTAGGTAGTAGCAATACGATATAGTAGCAATACAAAAGTCAGAGGTCGATTTCTCTTAAAATTAATTAGAATTGTCTTCTTCCTTCTTCTCTTTCTCCCCCGTATTTTGCCTATTGCTAATGTAATAATGAAAACAAATTGTACAATTTTTTTTTTTCAATTAGGATAATAATACAGAATTTTTCCTGAGATAGCAGCAAAAGTAAATTTCTATTCTAATTGCAATTGATGCAATTAAAAAAATATTTTTATAATATTACAGTTAATAGAGAACGAAAAATGAATTTTTTTGAAGGACTTTAATAATAATTATAAATTTTTCTACAAATATGACAGTTAATTATATGGCTGCAATGTTTAAATCCTCCTCGATCACTTTTAATTATTAAATATACATTATATATTTTAATCTTCATAATTCTTTCTACAGCCTGTTTTTTTTTTTGGAACTCGTCAACACTCATGGAAGAGGGACTGGATTTTCAACAATTGTGGCTCTAATATGCACTCTTCCTCTTGTCATGTGCATGTAGTGTGATAATAAGTAATAGTGTGTGCGTCAATATGTCTTATTGTTAATACTCACCTGAAAAGAATTGTTTCTTTAACAACTCTGCCTTCAGCATGAACATTGGGAACTTTCTTTCGCATATGCATAATACAACATTACTTATGCAATAATCTGCATCTGGACCACATTTGTATTGTGTGTTGCATTAATTAATATTCGAAGGAGAGACTGCATCCTCAACAGCTGTGATTTAATATGGACAGTTTGCAACTGGTTCTGGTGGTCATTTTTACATTCGTTTGCGGTGTAATATGTACCTTGGCGTTGCAGTTTTATTTGTTCAAGAGGTATTTGGAATCAGGACCTCAGGCTGCTCCACCACAGAGACAGCTGCAGCATGGCAAGACGCAATTACCTAAAGAGCTGGTGGAACAGATGCAGGAGGAGCGGACAAACTCCAATAACAGTATGGCCCGACAGGCAATGTCTCAGGGTAATGAGAACTTGGCTATAAACCTTACGCTGCAATTCCTCTTCAACGAGCTGCGAAATGCCGAGCGAGTGCGTCTGTGGCTTTATAGGAAATTAAATAACGAATTCAAGGAGCTTCTAACGCAGTCGACCACCGCCAAGTTGTTAGACAGCGTGAAAGTAAGAATTATTAGCTAAAACAATTTTGGGAAATGACAAAAAACACTTGTAAGCTTTTGTGTAATAAATCTTCTGTAACTGTTTGGAGTTAAGAGATTTGAACCTGGGCACGCAATTTCCGACGATAAAGGGTTTGGAAGTCGCTGATTCAAAAATCGATGCCGACACAGGTTTGCTGGAGTCTCTGGACTTGGCCTTAGATTTACATTACTCAGGAAACTTTCAATTGTCTATAGATGTTAAGATGCTGCTCGGCAAAACAGCCTATATGGCGTTGCAAGGTATTATACATATGATATAAAAAAAGAATTATAATTTTTTTACACATTATAAATTTTTATAGTAAAGCGTATCAGTGGTAAAGCTAGGCTGCAGTTTACTCGCGTACCATACACGCACTGGTCATTGAGCTTTTATTCTGACCCGATCTTGGAGCTGGAAGTACAATCACAGTTTCAAGGTCGTCAGTTACAGCCACAGATAATTTCAATCATTACCAGTCAGATTAGGAGAGCGGTGAAGCGGAAGCATACTCTACCTCGTTATAAGATGCGTTACAAACCGTTTTTCCGAAGATTGAACGATGAGGCCGTGGATCTCTCAGAAGTATAATACCTCCTCCTTTTAAATTTATTCATAGCTTATTAGATAATTGACTTGTATATTTGCTAAAATTTCAATTCGAGAAGTAATGATTAGCTTTTATAATTTTCATTTTAATTTATTTTCACATAATATCTTGATCCATATTTGCAGGTTGCAAGTACTCAGCTCACTCCAGGATATTTGGAGGTCGTACTATTGGAGATTAGCAGACTAAATCTTGCACCTATCGTTCTTAATAACGGTGAAGACGTATCGCAGATAGAAGTCTATTGCACCATGAGCATAGATTCCACCCCATGGATTTACTTAACGCAGTATAATGGGGTTCCGTATATGGTGCTAGACTTAATTATCAGTAAAACAGGCTCCCAGCAGTTAGGTGTAGTGTTCAAGCAGGAAATTGTGCCGGAGGTCGGCCAAATGTGCGTACTAGTTGAGACCATAGTATCCGGCAGTCCGGCGGCGATCGCCGAAATGAGAAAGGGCGATATTTTGGTAGCGGTGGACAGCAAAAAGGTGTCGAACATGAACCAAGTAGCGAAATTCGTCAAGTCCGCTGTACAGCGACGTTTCATTATCAGGGTGGAGAGACGGTATTCGAAGACAGATTCAAGCGAGAGAGTACAGAAAACAGATAACGAGAGAATGCTTTTCGCAGAAAGGAAGACTTCGAAGAGTGATTCAGTGGGCAAGCTAGACAGCCCGAGCGTAGAAGATGCTGGGAAGATAAAATTCGAGACACAAATCAAGTTCTCTGATCTACGAGATTCTGACACTGATTTCATGGACACCCGGTCCGAAACCAATAAGCTATTCAAGAGAAGAAAGAGCAGTATTCAGACAGAAGAAATAGCCCAAACGCCGGATACTACACCGTCTCGACGAATCTCGATGATCTCCACGTCATCGGCGTCATCCAGCAATGTTCAATTTTATCTTCCGGACGACAGTAGTACAAACAATATTACCGATCTGAATCATAACACGAAAGAAAAACCATATGCCTCTCTGATTACCTTCGAGGAGACCAAGAGCTTCCGGATCGATTCTGAATTGCAATACTTAAATGTAGGTGTATGGGGCCGTGTGAAGGGCGGTGAAACACCACCGAGACTGCTAGGCTATATAAATGCACCTGTAAAATTAATTCTGTCGCAGTGTTGCACTTCCACGACTGGACATTACTTAAAATGTCATGCTTTGTTGCCTCCAGATAGTGGTAGGTTTCAAAAATTATCTTTTCATTTTTAATTTTATTTATAACAATTACGAATATATATTATATATATAATTATATATAAACAATAATCTTATCTGATAAATCTTCTTAAGTGAATACGAAATAATAAAAGAATAAATATTTCTTTTGCATCGAAATTCTGGTAGATTTTGTCAGTTCTAAAAAAAATTAATTAGAAACAAGTTTAAAGAATTAATTATGGAATTTCTTTGAAAGCTTCTTTAGCAACATCATACGTAAGACTGCAGGGTTATTCAGGATTCGATCCAACACTCTGTTACGGTGACATCCTGTTATCGTACGTATGGGAATCTTGTCAACCGAACGATCTTACAGTCAATGATTTTGGAAAGAAGGAGAACGCAGAAACTGCCAAAGTTCAACCGGTTCCAAGCGAGGAAACCATTGACAGAAAGATGCACGATTTCATCAGGACGCATTTCCACAGAGCAACACACTGCGATTTTTGCACTAAAAAGGTAAGTATGGCATTGTAAATCAATAATTTATTTAATTTTTCAAATTGTCCTAATGAAAATCAATAAAATTATTGATTAATTACACTGAGAAAAAAATATAGTCAATAAATATTTAATTCAGTACTGCCAACTAAATATTTACTTACAGTAAATAAATAGTTGTTCAATAAAAAGAATGATTGTTAAATCAAATTAATGGTTCTCTCTTGTACCAAATAAATATATCTTCATAAAGAGAGGAAGAGAGGGGAGAGAGAGAGAGAGCTCTGTCAAATGTAAGATATATTACATCTATGTAATCTAATTTTTAAAAATATAGGACTATTTTTATTTTACCAAAATTTTATTTTATTTTATCCCTATTTTATTTTACTTAATGATTATCCAGATTGTTTCCTGTACAGATTTGGCTAAAAGATGCAGTGCAGTGTCGAGACTGCGGCATGGTATGTCATAAAAAATGCGAGACACGTTGTCAAGCGTCCGGCACTTGCGGTGCAGAAAGTCTAGCAACGTTGGCTCTGGAGGCGGACGAGATCGTCGGGGAACCAAATGTTGATATCTCTAGCCCGGAGATCTCTCTGACTGAATGCGAAGATAACGTACAGGTACTCAAGACGTAGAACCTTAGGGCATTTTGCTATCTGCGAGCGTAATCATTTTGTATTGCATTATATGATGCTTCCTATACGAGACAGCAGATTCGGACCGAAAGGAAAAAGACACTTAATCTTCACTATTGGTATTTAGAAAATTCCAATTTATTTATATTTAAGAGAAACTCTATCTTGATAGTAATTTTTAACATTAAGTTAAAAATGATGTAGTATTTTGCTTTCTAGTCCGATGCTGTGAACCTTATAATTAAATAATTAATATCAGTAACATTATTTTGTATGATTGTATTATAATTTATACACTGCAATGTTTCGTTACGTTTACACAAATGAGGAGCAGACTTTCAAAATGGATTTTGTGTGTCCAAAAAATTACATTTTTTTAGTTAAAGACGGCATAGTGTTCAATGTTGAAAGACTCATATTTTAATCTACTCTACGATGTTCTGAAAGCATTTTTTCTAATCAATTTATATGCTGAAAAAAGTCTAGACATTCGAAGTGCATTATGTCCTTTAACTAGAGACAAACAAAATGCATTTGTTTAACATTATTAGAAATAGTTTAGCAATTTTGGTTAACATTTTAGATCTTATTGGTTGGCAAATTATTATTTTCTGTAAGGCGCGTGATTTCCTTGTGGATTTCTTTTTTGTTTTCCGAAAATTGTAAATTTTGGACAAAACGCATTTTGAAAGTTCGTTTCTCAAATACGCAATTTATAATCACATCATGACGTTGACATTTTACAATCACATCGTGACGTACGTTGAATCAACTATATCACAAGTGCTCCATGATATTTATTTATTCATTTTTTTAGAAATCACATTCTACATTTCTCATATTATAATTTACATATTGCCTAATATTCATATCTATCAATGTAAATAAAGAATACTTAAAAATAACATAAACATATTATATGATATATATCATATAATATTTTTATGTTATGTGTATAACATAGATATAGATAATATATAATATATAAAAAGTATAACTAATATATATATGATATCCAAAAGTGATATCTATATTTATAATATTTATTATTTAAAAGTATTTTTAAATGTAGCAATAGTGGACTTTGTTTTGCATTTTGAACATGTTCAGTTTTACCCAACTGTTTTTATTTATTTATAATGTTTTTTTATCGAGTTATATTAAAAGGATCGATTTTTATGTGATATTAATTTTATTGATATCGTTCTGAGTACTGATCACGTGAACAGATCAAATAATTATCATTATTACATATCGATGAAATATTGGAGCGTTTAATGACATGTCACATGGTTAAGGGACTGTACAATTTTCGAAAACTCACGTGTGTCTTCAAATGCATTTATCTTGATATTTTGTATATAGCAGAGATTGTTAAGCGTGACTTGCATTTTGTTGTTGGCAATAAAACGAACTGAACATATGCACGGGGAGGTGAAGGTTCTTTGTAAAGCTTGGCACCTTGACCTTGCCTTTGTTCTCAATAAACTACATACGAGTAGATAGGTTTAATTTTCTTTCTCATACGAGATCAACATTTTTATTTTCATCAATTTTCAAATTTTTTAAAATTATTATATATATTATTATATATTAATATATCATATATTCTACATATATGTGGTATTTGTGAGTAGTCTACAAAAGAAAATATTTTAAAATTATTCTAAACAAATATTTTTTAAATTTTATAACGCAGATTTCTATAATGTGAATGTACAGCATTCAAATTTATTTATATTTTATTTCGATCTAATATGTCTTAGAATTTAGATAGAGATAAACTGGCAAGTACATTTTGAAATTCCATAGATTGTATACTTTGTTGGTAAAACGATGTACACTTTACGACGAAAATAGCGCAATCAGTTTTGCACTTTTGATTTATTATTTTGCGAATAGCTTGTTATCGTAAATGGTGAAAAGATATTAATCTATTTGAAATCCATTGATCGATTAATTAGGGCACAAGTATGATGGCCGTGAAGGCTAGTATAGCTAACACTCTATTGGGCCTGAAGAAGGCTGGAAGTACCAGTTGCTTGGCCCCACCGGCTTCCGGTATTGGTCTGGCATCTCGAAGTCTCCCCCCAAGTCCCTGTGCATCCCGCAAGGTAGAATAACAACACACATTTGTTCGTCCGAAGCGGAGAAGGTGCTCAATTTAAAAAAAATTTTATCTGATGAAAATTTTAATATTTATTCGTTAACATTGCAATCCTAATGAGCAGAGGACATAATGGAAGAATTTAAGGCAATAACATTATAATTCGAATATAATTATAAACAATTATATTTTATAAATGTGATTATATTATTTTTAATTAAAAGATTATATTAAAAACGTATTGAAACATCATATTTTGTAATTAGATTAAAAATGAATCTGAATTTTTTTTTGGTCTATATTCCGTATTTTGCCTTCTATTTTTTAAATTGCATTAAATTTTAAATGGCCAAGAAACTATAATTTCATAAAACATTTTTTGTTCTTACGTATCATTATGCAACTTTCCATTTTACCATATAGTTTTTTATCTGAGTTGCATCAAACCTTCTCCGCTTCACTTTCTTTCATGTTTTCTCAAATTAAAACCAAAGGAGAAAAAAAACATGCTCTTTGAAAAATTTTTCATATTTTACAGTTCTCTGCTTGTGTGTTTATTCGCTTTAATCATTCCTTCATCAATCATGCCTTACAATCGCCATTAAAGATGAACTTGTTATTTCTCACATAAGATGCAAGATAAAGTGATTAATAATAACTGTGCATATTAACGATAAACGATAGAATTTGAGACAATTTTGATCCAACTAATCATTAATTTTTCATAGATCATTTATTTATGAATATCTGAATTCTTTGAATTCCCTCTGCTTAGTGAATGATTACTGTCATCTACAGATTATTATTTTTATCATAAGAGAGATATATTTATCACTTGCTTGAAACTGCTGCAAGTTTTCTCATTGACGAGGATTTTCAACAACACGATGAACGCTGATCACAACACTGATTGCATTGCAATTGCATCTTAACACTGGAGGCAAGCTTCCACACGGTGATCATATAGATATAGGATGATCAATGCGACTCACACGCATGATCGGTTCGACTGCTTGATTATGTTTCACTTTCCGAATCGGCATAACATCGAACGAGGATGCACCTTTTAGAGAGCGCGTCGCATTAATCAATTTGATGAAATTGTTGAAACGTTTAGAATTCATTGGCTGGAGGTCTGGGAATAAATCCTGACCTCTTGGAGGGTGCTGAGCCAAGTGTTGCAGCTCCACTTATGGCTGGCGACCTAGACGATGGTCTTATGTCGAGGGCCAGAGATACCGGCAAATTCTTATATAAATACTTGGAGCCGCAGGAGCGCGTCGAGAAAATCAACGCTATGGTACGTGATACAAATTTTTTTACCAAATTATTTCGAAGTAAAAGATAATTCGAGAGATTTATCTTACGGCTCTAGAAATTCATGGACTACTAAATCGAATAAAGAGTCTTCCTGATCAAAGAGTCCAAAAACCCTTAAACATTGAATCTCCATTTTAATAATGATAAGATTTCTTGCATAGTCAATATAAAAATTTAACTGTAGGAATCTGTTAAATAAGTATATTTTTTTTGCAGATGGGAAAATTGAAGAACGCGCTAGATGCTGAAACTACCTCAAGATTAGAGCTGTCCCAGAACGGAGACGCGGACAGCATGAAACTGATCGCGCAGAGCGACCTGCGAGTACAAGCACTAAGCGTGCTGCTGCTGCACTACTGCGCCGGTTTACAACACGCGCAAGAGGCGGTGGACCGACCACAAATCAGTAAAGAATCTTAACAGGAATGTGTATTCAATTAATGTGACAACTTTAAGAAAAAAAGCGCATTTCCTCCTATTCTCCTTCATAAAACAAATGAACATGGGAAATGTAGCGATATTTTATAGTGGAATAATATAATTTGCTTTCGCTATTTATTTCATAATAAGCAACGACTCGATAACACTAACACTATGTTACATCAATTTTCTGATGTTGATATTGTCGATTTTTAATATGAATTAATTATAATATTAAAATTATAATATTATCGGACTGTATAAAATGCACAGAAATATTTATATTACTATGCACAGATAATATAGGGAGCAAGTATCTAACAGTATTTATATTAACATTTCATCGGTGCAGATATCAGAGAATCACAAATTATATCTTGTAATCACTTTTTCTTATTTCTACTATTTATTATATAATATTTTAGGAAATATTACTTATGTAGCATTATTATAACGTTACATAACGATATATTTTAACGTTGATGTAACATTATAAATATTATATATTATAATATTATAGAGAGAAAGGGAGACAGAGAAAGAGAGAGAGAGAGAGTGTGTGTGTGTGTGTATTTGTGTTTGTTTTTAAATGCATATTACGCCATAGCTGTTCCAAGGTTTCTATTCTACATTAGTCAATTGATTGAACTTTAACACAATTTACAATGAGTGTTGATAAAAAAACAGAGATGATAAAATACAATTATTAATTAGTCCAAATTTTTTAGTCCTATATATGATAACAAATCTTTGACAATTACATTCTTCTTTCAAAATCTTTTAAAATCTTTTTCTAAAGAGATTTTATATTTTTTTTATTTTGCTTAATTTACAGAATTTAATGTTAATAATTGCAAACCATTACGTAATTATATATTTGCACTGTACACAGGATCAATCGAAATTCTGTATGTGCGTTATGCACGTAAATAATACATTCGTAATTACGCACGCAGGTAATACAATTTTGTGTATCTCAGGACTTCTAACAATTTCGTCGATTTACGTGTTATATAATTTGCATTATATACGTAACTGAATAATACTCAGAGATGGGATATTATATTTACCAAGAGAAAACACCAAACTCGTTAAAATTAGTATTAATAGATTGTTATAATAATAATAATTATTGCAATGTGCGTAGGAACGTGCGTGTATTCACGTAACAAGAGAATGTTCTTGCTTGTGAAAATGGTACACGTTAGCTGCTTTGCGTAAAAAAAAAACAGTACGATTTTCCAAATGCCTAAAATACATTTTATCTGATAACTTTTATGCGATATATATTAGGTTCGCGAAACTAATGTGTGATGAACATATTATTATATTGCGAATTTATAAGACTATTTATAGATTGAGATTATGATGATCTGTCGCGATCGTAGATGATGATCTATACCGGACAATTGTTGAATATGGTGCACAATTGTGCATTTTGCGCCAAAATACGTGTGATAAGAAGATGTCTTACACGTTTTTAATAACATTTTCAGACTTTACGTCTCTTTTAACAAAGCCAATTTGCGATCTTAATCGTTAAAAAAATGTTTGACAGAAGGAATTTTAATATCTATATTACTTTCTACGTCTTTTAAATTACAGTACATTTTGCTGCTTACGATCTTTATTAAATAATTCAGATTATAATCATACAAAAAAAATGGAAGCAAATGTCATGATGTTTTTCAGTATCTTACTTATGAATCGATGGTGCCAAATAATTTAAACTTTGACACAGAACATATCTATCAACTGGAACGATTATACTGAATGGCATTAAATAACATACTATATATTTGCATGTTAAGAATGAAAAAAAGGGTATGTTTAATACTGAGAAAGAATTGGAAGTGAACAAGTTGGCGTTACATTTAACATTAGATATGGTTTTGCGATTCCGATCTCTATTTACGTAAAAAATACATTTGGATTGAGTCAGATGACGGCAACTGGATGGTTACGTGTAACGCTAAATGCGCTGAATGAATACAGATCTTTGACTGTTGAATATAATCAAAGAATTTTACCGCTTTGGCCTAAATTGATATTGATATGATAACCAATCAAGAAACTACAAAAATTTTGACTGTATTTAACTTAATTATTCACGGTGCATTTAATAGCATACGAGCAGCTTCGTATTAGCGAAATCCATCCATAAGCATTTTTGTGTGACTGTAATTTAAGGCGGTGCGCGATTGCAAACCGATGTATTATCGCTCATTGTTATATATAAAGTGGAACATAAAGGCGAATACAGATTGTTAATTATTATAAATCTCTCTATTTATAATACATCCTAGTATACGTACCTTTTATCTGCGATCTATTTATACTTGAGTATGCAATTGCATGATTCATAAACTATTCGATTTCTAACTAGAATTCTCATTTGAGAATTAATTGCAAATCGTCAAATCAAACCAATGTTATTATTTAAAATAGAATTTATTGTACGTCTTTTTTACCTATTTTTCTAGCTATGTTTTACGAATTGAAATTTATTTATAAATTGAATAGTATTCTTCGTAAAAATTTTGCAATCTCAGAAGCGCAAGTACTAGAACGAAGTACTACGAAGTAGTAACGGAAATTTATCGTATCAAGTTCCATGCATCTAACGGTGCAGTCTGCAGCACTTTGTTTGCGCGAGAAAAGCTTCCGTATCTTTACTTTTTGATTCATCCTCGTATAAAAGCGCACGTGCTACAAAAGAGCCCGGCGCAGTTGAAGAGATACACAGAAGTCGCAATAAAAGTCACCGCGGCAGGATGGACCGCGTCGTCGAATCGTGTTGTTCGCACCGGGGAAATTCCACGATGAAAAATAGACATTCGCGAAAATCGAGGTCGCGTGAACGCGCGTCACGAACGCGAACGACATTTCTGTTGCAATCTCTCGCGCGTCCTTGCTGAAGATGTATTAAGTCTTTCGTGATTATAACTAATTTCGCATTATATAGTCGTATCTACTTGTACTCATTTATATACCTTGTATTCATTTCTTAAGTTTTAAGAAGAGGATTTAGGCCTGTTCTTTTTGGCTGAACTTTTGCACCAGTTCATCTTTCTTCCTTTTCTCTCCAGGAGGAAAGAAGGGAAAGAAAGATGAATTAGTGCAAAAGTTCAGACAAAAAGAACAGGCCTTTTGTCTAATTTTCATTCCGCGATGTATAAAAAAAATTGATTTGATAAATTCTTATGAGAAACTCGAAATTGCAACAAAGATTCAATCTGCATGATTAGATGTGAATTTTAATGAAAATGAAGAAGATGGCAGTAGTAAAACATCAAAGGAAGACGTACATCTCGTTGTACATCTGGCCGTGTTTGTGAAATCATGGTACACGCTCGCGTAGACGATTTCCAAGTAAATACCAAAAATCGAAGACGCAGTAGAGAGAACATGCGACTGCCGTGTTACAAAGAACGGACGGACGTCAGCGTCGACGATGCCGCAGGGCCAATGTACGCTGGTTGGCAAGGGTGCGAGCCAAGGTGTCTTCCCCCGACGTTTTCCCTGTTTCTCCTCCGTTGAAAAAGGAAAAAGACAGGAACGGAAGCCAGCCAGCCAACGTAGAAATTGCAAAGACACTCGCTTTCTTTTATACGTATGTCTATCATGCCGATATAGGTGCTCAGAAGTCCATTATGATCTGAAATACTACTCATCACTATAATGCAATAAAACCTGGACATCAATCTAAAATATTTAAATAATTGAAGAATGTCTAACTTAAAAATATCGAAATAATTGAAGAATATGAAATTTAAATATTCAAAAGTTTCATATCTTAAGGGGATCGTAAAGTGAAGCTCGAACTCCGACGAAATCATTAGATATCGCTGTTTTTCCAGCGCATCGACATGTCTTTATATACTACCACATCAATATTTCACATATACATACGTACAAATTTTCTAACTAACTAATCTTTCGTATTTTAAGTATCTAAACTTAATTCTGCTAATTTTATAGGTACAAAGTACAAAACTTTTATGTAAAGCAAATATTGTTTACGAGTCGACGCCAGAAGAGCCGATAAAAAAACAATTTTCCAACTTTTTTTCGAAGTGCCGATTTTTTGTCCAAAATATTTTAAAAAAAGATCAAAGATCTAGGAATGTAAAAAAGATTCAAAATTATATCAAAGGATTCAAGAGAATGACGTACTGATCGAGCCACCACAGATCGGATTCTCGGCTCCTCCCACGATCTGGCTCGTCATTTCATATCCTACGTCGCACGAAGAGGCGAAAACGACGAAAGAGAAGTCATGGGGGATTTTGGTCCGCGGCTGTCTATTTCCGTCGAGATGTACACGCAGTATTCTCTGGCTACGGGCCAAGCATACCGCGGAACCGTATAAACATTTTGTCCCTGTTAAGCACTGAGCTTCACAATGAATGGAGAGCAAAGTCCTCTAATGCGGAGGAAGAAGAAGCGAGTGGGGTTGCAGACAGTGGTGAAATTCGTTTTACCAGCGCGCCTTCGTTGTTTTTTGTCTTCTTTAAGAAATAGACGAGACTTCAATTACAAATAAAACATTTAAATAAGGATTAGCGAAACGCAAAGGAAAAATAAAACACTGCTATTCTATTATTCTATTATTTTATAACAAGCCAAATAATACATCGTTAATGGTTGACCAAAAATAAAAATACACTTGTAAAAACAATCTATCTTTCAAAAAAATAAGAAAAAATAGCTCTTCGATGAAAAACATCTAACAACAGTCGATTTCTAGCCTTCTCGTGATCTTGGCCAAAATTAAACGTGACTGCATATTCGTGTCGCGATTGCACTTTTGGCAATTTCACAAATTCCTCTGGACATTCGCATGATAATTCACTATTAAAACGAAATAGTGACGTACATCTCTGCCATTTCCCAAATATTATATCTATTGAATTGCGCATAGTAAACTGAGTAGCACGTGATAAAAGCAATAAATATTTATCGCACGCTTTAAATTATATTTGCAAACCAGGTTCACTTTTGCGAAATAATAATATCAATTAATATTTCAATTTTAAGTATTATGTCTTGCACCTTTAATAAATTGTTAGGATAAATTTTAGGATGAATTAAGTAAAATAATATGCTATGTTTTAGTATAGATAATGATACCTAGAATTGCGCAGTGGGCAATTTGCTCCGACGCAACACAGTTTACACAATATTATCGACTTCCATTTCGCACATTAGTTGAGTGAACAAATTTTGCGCATATATGCAGATAACCGGATATGTTGTTCCGTGTGCACGAAAGTGTCTTTGTATTTCTTCAAGTATTCAACGCTTAGCATAAACTCAGAGTATCCGAAAATGTAATGGGTATGGACTGCACATTCTCTGATTTTAGCTTCTATGCTTCATTAGAAAGAATTGAATATCTGTCTTCAACTCTGAGAGAAAGAAAAAGAGGGAGAGAGAGAGAGATAGCATCAGATAGAATGCACACTCTATTCTTATTACATCTATTAACATCACTATTTTTTAGACGTCGTCTTCCATTTATATTTTTGAAACCCTGGTGAAAATAAAAATCGGAGCGTAAGTCGAATGTAATGGGAAAGTAACAGAAGCGTAAACAAAACTTCTAAGAGGCGAAAATTGAAACATCAAAATGTAAAAGAAGAAATATAAATGCTTCTTTTACGTTTCATTGTTCCAATTTTCGCCTTCTAGAATTAATTCTATTTACGTTTCTGTTATTCTCCCATTACATCCGATTTATGCTTCGATTTTTATTTTCATTAGGGAAAATTATATACGCATTATATATATATATATTATATATATATTCTTATATTTAATATATTTAAACAATAATTAATAATACTTTTTTGTAATGAACAGAAGTACTTTAAAGATATTTTTTGTAATATGAAGAATAAACTTTTCTCTCAAAAGAAGTAATAAAGTGGTTTACGACAAAAAGAGGGTAATCTTGTTTGGGAATTTCTTTGTTCGCAAAACTGCGCAGTCAAAAAGCTCGATGCGCGTCAACACTGACATTGAAGCTTTTTCGTTTCGATGTGTAATCTTCATTTCTTCTTCAGCAATACCTACTTCGTCAGTTTGTGATTGTTATGCCGTGAAATATATGAATCATATTCTGTGTAACGAAACTAAAACTGAATCCGTCGACTTGTAAGAAATCTTGAATTCTTTTATATTATAATCTCAGTAATTAACATAAAGTCGAAATTAACTAATTAGTTTGTACAATTTTAAAATTAAAGAATTTTTTTTTTTAAATTTTTCGAGAAGATTTTAAGAAGTTTATATAATGATATTAGTTTTTGAACTTGAGAATTTGTTTACAATTTTATTGTCGAAGCTTCTTCTTGAAGAAACCGCTTTTTGTTTTTGAAGAAAGTGCAAAAACATGAAAACTTGATTTTAATGCAAAAGTTTTAATGGTAATTTTAAAGATCTTAAGAAAATTCTAAAAAAATTCTAAAATAATAGAAAAGAAGCAAAAACTGATCTCGATCAGTACAATTTTAATGTAGAGAACATTTAATTTAGCAAGTTGCACAATCTTAAAATGATAATTTTGTTAATTGATAATTCTTCTTCGAATGTCAAAATAAAAGAGACCTGCAGAGATTCCGAAGAAACCCTGAAACAGCAGGAAAACCTTGAATAAACGTGATTCTAACGCGGAAATTCCGACATCGAATTTGACAGCTTGCATGTCGCGCAGTGCATCTGACTGAGTTTGTTTTCAAACAAAGAGAAAGAGATAGAGAGTGGGTATACACACACATACAAAGTAGTCAGCTGTTTCATGACGCTTCCCCGATGGCGGGGAGAATGGCGAAGGCTTAAATAGCACCGCGTACACTCGTGCAGGCAGTGTTGACGGAGTCACCTGAAACGGACTTCGGTCGTCGTGATCTTCAGGAACGTCAAACGGATCAAGTCTTGTAAAGTCCATACAAAGATTCGCGCAGGAAGTCAGCTGGATCTACATTCCGCTGAAGTTCGCTTGCGAGAACGGAGATCCCTCGAGAATCGTGCTTGAGGTGGACTCTGTCTTGGACTTCATCCTGAAATCTCGTACGAGATCCTGAAAGTGTCCCGGTGAAGAAATTGAAAATCTACGTTTTTTTCAATCCGGATAATCTTTTGAGAAATGCTCTGGTCTTATTCAAATTAAATTTGAATTCCAAATTGCAAAAACGGAGTTTTCACAAAGAAGAACATTCGCAAACATTAGGATCCAATTTGCACGGATTTTCATCCTGACAAAATTTTCTATGTGAAAGAAATTGTTTCGACTGAATTGAAATATACTATATAAATTCTCTATTCAGCTAAATTCTTTCTATCTTCGGATTTGCCGGATACGATTTAGATCTTTGCCAGTGATTCGTAGCGACTAGCTATCAACAGGTGTAAAATTTATACAAAGACTAACTATCGTTTAATTGAAGCTTATAAAAATGTTCTTTTAGCGATTACAAAAAATCCAGTAAAAGAAATTGTTCCTCAAGTGTACGAAGATCGGTGCTGATTTACGATACGATAAATTCGAAAGAGAAATTCATATTTGCGCGCTTGTCGCCGTCAATTGTAATCGTACAACGAAGTGTGAAGAAACATGAGGCCGCCGTATAACGAAGGAGAGGTGCAGCAGATCTCGCAGGAGCAAGGCGAGAGAAATGTTGCGATGGCAGTCTGCGTTCAACTGGCTGGTCGGGCGATCATCCGGGTGGTTTCACGATGTGAGGAAGCCCAGGATAACTGCAATTTAGGTAAAATCAAGTGAAGAACACCATAAAGTCAATTTAAAAAGCGTTTTAAATCTTGAACATTTTCCTTTAATATCTGGAAGAATTCTAGATCTTTGCAATATTCCTGAAGGCCAGTTTTATAATTTTTATTAGCTTAATTGGTTAATTAAGCGTTAACTGTGATTAGTCAATTCTGATTCATTCTGATTAATGATAAATGCGATTGATTAATTAGTTCCAATGGAATAATCAGCCGATTAAGTTAATCAGAAATAGTGAAACTTTCTCTTAGATGATTAAAAGATAATTCGAATTTTTAAAACATTTTTTTAATTTTTTGGTATTATAAAGTTTAATAAATTTTGATACTGAAATGTAGTGGGCATATATTAAATTTTTCTAAGGGTAATTAAAGGATGCGAAGTGTCACTACAAATGCTTTGGAGCATTTGATTGATCAATCAGAAAAAAAATGTTTACTAATTAATCAATTAAAGAATGGTTCAAAGCATTTGTAGCATCACATTGACCGTACTCAAAATTATTCATAAGAGAAATTGTTGTCTTAGGAAAAAGTCGAACTTTTATATATCATATATTATACATATGTGTATCTCAGTGTCACGGTTTTACTAATTCCTAATTTGAAATAACTTTACCTTATCTGTAACACGCCGTCTGCGCATACTGTGACTTTGATCAGCAATACTTTTACTGTTTATATTGTAATAATTCCGGTGCTTGTGACTCATCACCTACTTTATAAAACGTACTTCGTAGATCACGATTGCGTATAGACTATAATTAAACGCAGATTATAATTTAATAAATATGGAAAATAATAAATTCAAGAATTTCTAAAATTTAAAATCCTGAAAATTGGGGCTTATCATATAGACAAAAAATGTGGTGCCGAGAAAATGTTCACGAAATCAAAATATATACGTATAAATGTTCAAATTTATAAGTTCAATTTTTAAAATTTGTAGGTAGTATCACGATTCTACAAAATCAGAAATGTAGTACTTACATTGCAGCCATAAGAATTTATTGAATAAAAATTTATATAGTGACAAATATCTACAATAAAAAAATGTAATATGAAACATCTTTTCTTTGAATTTAAATAAGTATGATATTTAAAATCAGCAATAATAAATGTGATGTTAAAAAGTCTATTTAGTGTCTATTTTATTAATAACTTTATATGTTTTGATTAATATTAAAGGTCTGGATAGTAAAGATCTGATATTAACGGTTTATAATACAAAGATTCACGATATTTATGATTATGGAAATAAAGATTTGTTAAAAATCTGTAACATCAGAAATCCGATTGGAGAACTTGTGAAAGTTCTGTAAATCTGAAATTGACGATCCATAAAACGTAGTTTCTACGATATATAAGATTCGCAGTGTAAATCAATTATCGGATTATGATAAAAATATCGCAAGTGGTAAGCGGTAGATCGCAACAACGCATTTCTGAGTATTGTCACGTTAATAATATCTATCTTATCTAATGCAATATCGGTGACTCAGTTTGCTTTGTATAGCTAACGAACTCTTCTACTTTCTTTAAGATTTGTGATACGTTTTTCTTACACGCGTAACACTAACATTACAGTTATTGAAAAATAGAAAGAGGAAGCAAGGAACAGCTAATAAAAATTGATCTACGATGAGCCGAGGATCGAGACGCAATATATTGACGGTTTCCTGTTGCAGTTCAGCAAAAAACTTATAACATAGTTCCGTAGAAAGTACGGATCATGCCAATAACGTACTCATCGCGTAAAAGCAATCATATAGTACGTGAAGAACATTTCCGTTCTACTTTGCAATTTCATATTAGTTTCATTAGAGATAAAAAGATACAATTATATATCATAATGAGCAGTATAAAAAAATATATGAATGACTAAAAAAATCTTTCTTTTTTCTCATTTAATTTTTCTATAATGTACCACTTGTGAAACAGATCATAATGATATATATAACCATAACAATAAATCACAGTTATGTAAAAATAATTTATGTTTTAAAGATTTTTATATTTAGATTCCGTATATAGATTAAAAATCAGTAGAATATTTATGATATTTACAAACTAAGTTGTTACTATAACAATTAATAAAATTGAAGACTATGAAATTTCGTTTGTGGAGGAATTACGCAGGAATGGATAAATAAATAGGTGACGTTTTTCGAGCATCAACTCGGATAAAAGTGAAATGTTCGCTTCACAACTCCAGCATAGATAATTGACTGGATAAACATTGCGTTATACAACGCGTATATCCGGCCTTTGTCTCTTTCCTTTTCACATCGTGAGCCTCGTGGAACAGCTGTGGTCCTCTGGTCGTATCTTCGTCTGCTATCCGAACTGATCGTGCGTATCTTCGGGACACCAAATGCATACACGAAAGGTCGATCTCGGAATAGTAAAGCAGAGTCTTAGTAATGTTGATCTACGCGCACTGAATATTGCCAGAAGGTTACGTTTCCTCCTTTTTATGAATCTTTTTACTATCTAGCTTGACATATTAAATACGAGACGCATTATAGTACAAATAAAGTGACAAAAAGAAACTACGTAACATTAACAATAAATCTCTGATACCATAGATCTTTCAATGATTTTTAATTCTAGACCAAGTCTTTACAGATTTCTGATTTCGTAGAGTGATTTTACAAATTTGCATACCTTGACAAAGATATATAATATAAATATAATATAAATTGATATTTATATTATTTACTGATATTAAATTAGAACATAAAAATTAGCTATTAAATCTCCAATATTGCATCCAATAAGATAAAAAATGAGCTGTTCATAAAATAAATTTTTTTATAATATCCTTTTCTTTTATCACGGTTGTACGTAAACGCTGCAGCGCTGTTTCGCTTTAACAAATGTCGGAGCTAAGGCTTTCGTGCATCGCAAGAACGATCTTGTGCGAATCCAGAAATGCAGGAATTTTTCAAAGCAAAACGTACAAATGAGTCTACGACGCGAGAAGTTTCCGTATAGGGCCTCGCGACCTTAAATGGTAGCTTGCTATCGGCTCTTTTCTATATACTACTTTTTGATAAAGAAAAACGATCGCACGTGCATTAACTATAACCGCGGGAGCAACAGCGAGAAGTAACTTTCATACTAATTACACAATGACTCTCATACTAATTGCACAATCTGCATTCGAGTACTTTATCCTCGTTTATCTTTTGCCTGAATTATATAAGGCGTCCCGCAACAACGCAATATAGATAATCCAAATACTTTTGCTTGTGAAAAAGATTATTTTGAATTCAAATAAAAATGAGTCTAAAGAATTAATGGAAAAATTTTCATAATATAATAATTTTCATAGAAAAGTGTTAAATCGTGTTTCTTTCTATCTTTACCCTACATTTCAATCAATTTAATTATCTGTTATCAGTCAATTTATTTGTTCGTCATGGTATCATTTTTGAGCAAGCTCTCAATTACTTGGCCTTGTACTTAATTTTGATACACTGTATTTGTATGAGTCATGATGTTTTTATCAGAGATCTTGAACTTATATATATGATTATTTTTTTATTCTTATCAATAATGAATATTCAAAATTTGAATTCACAAAATTTTTGATAAGAATCAAGAAATAATCGTACAAGTTTAAGATATCCGATAAAAACATTATGATTCATAAAAATATATTTTATCGGATTTTATCCAAATTAAGTGCATCAAGGTCAAGTAATTAAGAGCAATCAACCTGTCCGGAAATGTGATAAACAAATAGCAATCTGAGGACTATTTTCACGCCTGTCTCCTTGCCATACGTCGAAAAAAATCTCCAAAATTTTAGTTGACCAAGTTCGTCGAACGTTTATTTATCAAGAGATGTTCTAAATCTTCGACTTATGATATCGGTGCAAAACGTACAATTAGCGTAATCATAGCGCGTTCATTTGGCTATCGCGGAAAGTGTAGCACCTTCTCGATCTTCTCTTCAATAACCCGATTTCCGAGAATGAGTCGTGATGAATATCACGGTCGACCAGGTGGTGGAACTTATTTCGGCAGGCACACACAGAAATAAATGTTTCAAACGCAGTCGGAGACGTGCCGGTGAGTCAGTACGACAGCCAAAATGGCAAACGCTGTAACAAGAGTGATTCTTCGCTGCGAGGAAGCGCAGGAGAACGAGAACCTCGGTAAATTATAGATTTTCAGAGAAAGCGATCGTTCTTGATTCGATTTAAAGCCATTACATGTACAAAAATTTTAGCCATAATTGTAAAGTTTCAAGCAAATCGACTAATCACAATCAAAATTGCGATCTCACGTTTTAAAACGCTCGTATGTGATTAGTCGATTTGTTTACGGTCTTACATTTATGACTAAAATTTTTATAAATATAATGGCTTTTACTCGCGTTTAAAATTTGGCAGAAAGGTTATTAATTATTAACGGATTCGTCACAGTGAGATTTCTACATGTTTTCGTAACGCGTTTCGCATTGGTGCACGACTGGAACATTATAGCAATAATTATGAAAATGTGACTGGACTGGTACAATGCTCAATTCGAAGAAATTTCATTCTACAGTTTTCTCTTTACGTCAGATTTTAGAGATTTCGATATTCAACAGAGCACTCAGATTTGCAAAACAATTTTTACTTTTTACGACATTAGATCTGTTTTCTATAATAGCTGAACTAGTATACCTACTTGTGTAAGTGTTCGTGTATTTATGACATTTGTGAAACATAAAGTAAAATAGGTATATGTTTGTTATTTACGAAAGATTGACGAAAGCGAGAAAGAAAGTTTTAGTGCAATCTAGTAAGGGAATAAAAAGCAGACTTAATTTTATCTCTCTTAATCGAACTCTGTAATAGCTTTGATATAAGAAACAAAGGAAAAGAAAATATTCTTTATTATACATGTAGAGAATAAAGAAAGCTATTTTTCTCAATTATTGGAATTTGATTGAAATTCTTTGTTTGACTTCACGAAGCGTTAACAAGTGTACGTTTAAATTGTTCCTTGATGGATTGCTAAATCGGACAATTCCGCGGTTTGTTATTTTCCCGGAACTGCGCGCTCCGATGTTATAATGATCGCGATGATTGATAAATATATAATGCGGAATGCATTTGTTCCATAACGCGTTCTCAGTTCTCGCGTTCGAGTTAGCTTCAACGACGAACGGTCTTCCGTACTGGAAACCGCGCCAGAGAAAGCGTGAAACGCGGTGCACTGACGTTAAGTGCACTTTCAGCAGTTATGATGCGCTTAGACTGGCGTTTTCCCATTTTTTTTTCAAGACGGAACACTTTTACAATTGTATTATTACAATTTAACTGATGCTATCGATATTTGACAGCGAGAAAATCTCTCGCTCTCAATATTTTTTGTTCATATTCTCTGTTCAACTTTAATCGTATAAAGGGAATTCGTGCGTCAAACTAGGCTATAAGATAAGATATTGGAAGAATAAAAATTTATTTTGGTCCTAGTTCTCTTTTGATATATTAAAAATTTTATTTTATTTTGGGAAAAGAATTAATTATTTCAGCTAATATTTTTTCACTAGAATGTTGATATTTAACGATTATTATTGAGCATTAAAAGAGAGGGACATTTATATAATGATTAAAATAGGATATTTTAAAGTAAAATCGAATGAATAAGCATTAAAAAAGAGGGACATTTATATAATGATGAATTATAGGATATATTTTGAAAGATGTAAGATCACAGTGAACAATGGCCTTCACTTTCAGTATTTATGAAGGATATGCAATCAGTCCTCCTTTCAAAGAAAATAAAAAATATTAATTTTTATTTTTAAACATATTTATTTCATAGAATTTAATACTAAAATTGTTATTTCAAAAGTTTATTTTAATTTATGTAAGCGGCAGAAATTTAACGGAATCTTGGAGAATAATAATTTAAAGACAGTATTACATATATATTTTTTTCAGAAAATTGTACGTTCTTTCGTTTTACTTTTTAGACTTGTCGGAGTGCCAACTCATGCAAATCCCAGACGCAGTCTACCATCTGATGCGGCACACGGAGCTGAAGAGATGTGACCTCTCCGGCAATGTGATCACAAAAATTCCAGCTAAATTTGCCGTGAAATTTTCATTAATCACTGGTGAGTGATAAGTTATATAGAGTAGTTTCAGATTGCTGTCTTTTTCTCCATTCATATAAAATTTATCTTTGAGAAAATTCTCGCTTAAAATCTCAAATTATTCAACAAAACACGTTTGCAGAACTGAATTTAAGCCACAATCAGATGAGCAAACTGCCTGAAGAGTTGGCCGAACTGCAAGCTCTGGAGAGACTCGATATCTCGCACAACACTTTCATCGCTCTACCATCTGTGGCTTGGCGGATACCGCACCTGAAACGACTTCTTGCTAACAACAATTTTATCATCAGTTAGTACCGATTAATTTATGATTATGAAAGATTTTCATCGTATATTATTAGTACCTCAAACAATTAACAGGTATAATACATATACTCCTCCCTGAATGAGTATCTTATTATTAGGATATTCTTTTATTTTTAGGAAAATGTTCAAAAATAATGTAGTTGTTAAAACTTAGAACAGAGTCATATATAGAGAATTCTATAAATAGAATTTAGATATTATAAGAAATATCAATATCAAATGTACTACAAGGACTGAAATTGAATAATTTTGATTGCTAATACTGCAAATCGCGCGAAAAAAAAAAGATTTTATACTAATTATTGCATTTTCATCACGATCAAAATAAAAGGACAATTTTCGAATTATCTAAACTAATAAATTTTCTTAAAGTGACTTAACAATAATATTGTTGATTTTATTCTGTAGATGTTGACGTCGAGAGGCTCAGTCACGCACCTGTTCTAGAATTCATCGACTTACAAGCGAATCCCCTTCCATCGAGATTACACGATCTTCTACGCACTTTGACCAGGATTACAATCGAGCTTACTCCTCGGCAAATCGAGGATTGGGAGGACTTGAACGTTTAAGTCATCTCCCAAGTGAGAGCAGTCTATTTCGCGACAGAAGACGACGGAGAAACGGTTCCGTCCTTCGTATTCTCTCGACGAAAATTGCTCAAGACTTTACGCGAACTAGAAATAAAATCGATATTTTGTACAGTGATAACGCGAGCTGTGTGATAACAAGTGCCGCGGATTGTAAGTCAATGATCCGCTTGTATCTCTTGTAAATGTCACTAGTAATTTATATCTGTACTTATCACGGATCTGTTACTGATCTCACGGAGATCGATCGATCCCTCGTTTTTTTCTTTTATATCGCGTGAATTTTTAGATTTTATCGAGATACCATGCAGCCATGAATGACGCTGTTGTGATCAATTATATCAGTGCTCGCAAGGATTTACACATTTTGGGCCGATTCCGGCGCGCGACCTCCATCACCGCTCGAAGCTCGGAGGCCCGACCGAATCGGCTCAAAATGTACAAATCCTTGTGAGCACTGAATTATATTATCGAATTCAAGAATTTTTAGATCTCATTTATGAATATTTTAGCATCAAAACACTTCCAATATCGAATTTTTGGCTTATAATTATAAATCATCGGATTGTCTAAATCATTTGAAAGATTTTCTTGAATTTTTAGATTTTTAAATGATAAACTTAAACATGCGATCCTTAAAACGCGAAAGTCTCGGATCTATAAGCTTAAGACTTGAAGAAATATTTAGAAATTATCTTGTCGTTCATGAATATAACTTGTATTGACGTAATTTCTGTTTGTCAACGTTACGGACACATTTATCGCTATGGACTGCCGATATACGATACATCATATAGCCGATACAATTTTTTTAACATTAACATTTTGCACTCGAGTATTATCTGAAAATATAACCGACGAAAAGTTATAATTTTACTCGAATATTACTGTATACGTATAAAATATTACAAAACAATGTAAAAATGAAAATACTCTGTCATTTTATATATTTTTAATTTAAAAATAAAGATTTCGTAATTTTTTTGTAAATTACATTTTGAGGATGCTTTATATGCCTTATTTATTAAATCGGAGAGATATGTGAAAAGATTAATACTTCACAAATTAACGGGTTTTAAATGAACTCTGACTTTACAGCTCGAGCACAAAGTGTTAATAACGAATGACAAATATAATATCTACTATTAAGTAGCTGTTAGCGTTTGGATATAGGGTGCCCCGTAAAGAAATAAATATTTATTTGCAATCGTAAGTTTGCAAATGTTTCCGCGAGATTATGCGCATCCAGCGCGTCGAATAGTAATTACAATTGTAATTTCGTTTTATTTTCCTGTGCTTTTGATCTAGTCAGTCATTCTTAGACGTACGGGTCTCAAGAGTTACGGATACAGCTTTATCAAGTCTCGGATTTACGGACAATTGCATCTATGCATGGGCGCCAACTTTTGTAGGAAGTGTGTGGAGTACTCCACACGTTAGAATTTTTCGTGTGTGAAATTCCACACATGAACAATTTTTTAAAATAACCAAGTACCCACCCATACAGCACCGATTATTGCGGAAAGCTTTCAGAAATGTTTCAACCTTTCAAGTCTCATGTGCAACAATTCCGAAAAGATTCTGCAATATGTCATACGTAGACTCGTCTGTGATTCGTCTGACATTTTTCTTCATGTATTTCATTATTTAACATTTTGACGATGAATTGTTGCAGAAAAGTGCTGCGCATCCAATAATTTATTATCCGTACATTCGGAGATTTTGAAGATCGTCTCGGATAGAAAAATTATTTTGTAAAGGAAAGATGTAATAAAGTAGGAATTTCGTAGTGCTTAGTGGGCATGATTTTTGATAGAATTTGCAATGGAGAAACTATATAGTTTATTATTAGAAAGATATCGTTGTATTCAGCTACTGGTTTGTCAGAGGGGAGTTGGGAGTTTATTTTCGCTTCGGACGCAAAAAAAGATCGTTAATGAGAAGCTGGATGGAAAATATAGGGATACGTTTATTTTTCATATTGGACCAGCAACGCTGGTCCAATCTTCATACGGCTAATCGGCAAGTTGGCGCCCCTGCATCTATGGCATTTAAATAATCTTACAGAATCTTTGGATTTATAAATTCCTGATTATTTTAAGTTCTAAATTTAAAATGCAAAACTGTGTCACTAATGAATCCGTTAATCTCCAATTACATCCTCAGATTTGCAAAAATTTGAATGTAACGTAAGACGTCACAATGCAGCAGCAGGAGAAACACGAAAACGAATATTTTCAATCGTATTTCGCAGGACACTGTGCCTAGTCTATATACATCCTAATTACAGTAATTATCGCAATTTATACCCTATTTATACGAATGTATCCTATTCTCGCGAGAGAACTTGTGGTCAATGAAGTTGTTGGTTCGTATTTTATATTTATTCGCCGCTTCGATGTGTCAGTAGTTAAAATTTTGTAAGATGTGTCACAATTGTATATACAGTTTTCATAACAGAAGTATAGAAACTGCGCAATGTTTTCAAAACAGATGGATAATTTTATTTGCTTATATCTTCTGTACTACGTAAAATAAGCTATTCGAAAATTGTCGAACCAATTTTGATACAATTCATATGTGTACTGCAGTTTATTAATAAAAAAAACGTAAATGGTACTTTCGTAGAACATATTAGCTTCGACGGATAGATGGTCAACGTCCTACATTGAGCCACTAAAGGAGAGAACCTGTTTTAGAACGTCGAAAAGTAGCTGTTTGTTTGTGAATTTTTTATGAACAAATCATGAAGCTGATATTTCCAAAACTTTAAGAGTGATTTGTTGTATATTTGAAGAATATAAAATAATTTTTTAATAAATATAAATAATGACTATAATAAAAAGTTATTTACTAATCAATATTGTGCTTCAACATCGAAGTTATAAATTGGCATGCAATTTGGAGCTTGTATTTCTTGTCTGAAACAAAAAAACTAAAAATTTTTTTAATTAGATAATATTTTATTCTTGATAAACTAAAAAAATAGGAGAAAAGTATCAAATTGCAAGAATTGTGAACTTTGAAAACAAGTAACGATTTTGAACAAAAAATTTCGATTTATATATGCAGAAATAATGGTTTATACTAATTTTTTAATAAACGTTTTTAGTTCATCTAAGATAATTGACAATCACGTAACTAAAAAATTTTACAAGAAGTCGATTGGTCAAATAGTTCTTGAGTAATCTTGCATGCCAATTTTGAAAAAGTAGTTTTGAGAAAAACGCGTTTAAAGTTTTCGGTATCGAAAAGTAGTATTTTTTGGCAACTTACCGTTAATCTGCTATTCCATATAGATTTATACAGCAAACCTTCTGCTTCCTCATAAAACTCGTTTTGTTGCGTTAATTGCAATCTACGAGCTATACGAGCCTCTTTCTGCTTAATCGGCACCGTTCCTGCCTCGTAATTCGCTCGTCGTAATTGAGTGCTTTCCATTTGATGACACAAGTCGACACAAATCGACACAAGCGTTGTTCTATCCTCTTGATATTCAGAGAGTGATAAAGATGGAACGATACTTGTGTCGACTTGTGTCATCAAATGGAAAGCACCCATTGTCGGCCAATATTTTACAATATTGGCCAATATTTATTTTCAGCAACTGCATTATCTTTAAAATGCTAGAATATCCTTCATTGAAGGCACATGCAGCAACGAAGGCGGCGATTTCGATAATTTTTGCGCTAGAATAAGTATTTCGGAGCGAGGCGCCAAATAGTGGAATTAAAATTCTCGTTTGTGAGTTTCGCGTGCCTTCTTCGAAAATAAATATCTGCTAAGGTCAATAATGCCATGCTAGGGATCGAGAAGCGGAGCACAATGGGCGCTCCCACCTGTGCGACGTGTATTCCTCAAATTATAACTACAAAATTATTTCGAATTTCGGTCTAAAACTTTACGAGTATATTTTCTAGGATTAATACTATTGATTAAAGCAAAAAAATTTTGACATTGTAAACAAGGCTTTTTTCTAAAGTAAATTGTGTACGAATGTTTACACAGGATATTCCGAAAAATATATGTCCAAAATAAGAAAATTCTCTTTTCAATTGAAAAATAAAACAATATTCAAAAGAAATATAGTGCTTTCATCTATCTCTGATTTTATGTTTTGAACAAAACGCTTTAACTGTAACTTTAATTGCATTAATTAATATTAATGCAACTAACGCTCAACTTCTCTTTTTTAATTTTTGTAGATTAAATTAGCTTTACGTAATATATAGTAAAAATGAATTTATTTACCGAACTATTGATGCCTTATCAGCTTCAAGTTGAAGCTGCACGCGATCTCAATACGGATAATCGCTTGCATGATTAGAAAACAATTAATTATCGTCCTAGTATAAATATATGAGAAAATATTACATGGTATAATGATTGTTCAACACTTTGGTCAGTACTCGCGTTTATTTGCAATTTAGCATCAGTGGTTAAAAATACATAACATGGTGTAACTTTGATCAGAAATACACGCAGTACGGTGCAAAGTACAATAAAAGCGGCGGCGCACGCTTCAGTCTGCTAATTTCATATAATTGCAATTTTTATATTTTCGCAGCTTCTTTACATAAAGTTTTGAAACAAAATAGATATCATGTAAGCCAAAATGATTAAAATACCTTTATTTCGTATAATAATAATTACTTAAATGCGTATTAAATAAGATATAGCAGAACCTCATTTATTCGAAGTAATGTGGCCTACTTCGGATAACCGAAATCTCGGATAATACGGAAAATACAACACAAAGGCTGTTTTTATTTCTATGTATGTATGTATTTGAAAACGTAATAACAACAACGAAGCGCGCTTATGACTTCATTCCGTATTATCTGAGTTTTTCCGTATTATCCGAGCTACCGCCTCAGTTAATACGGAGTTCTCAGATGAATTTGGTGCCTCAGATTACGCGGAGCATTGGTTAATCGAAGCTCGGATAAATGGGATTCTACTGTATAGTAAATATATATTTACTATAATTTTTATGAAAAGTACTTTTTAACGCATAAATTTGTATAAATATAAATATTATATTCAAGATTTAATAACTATTACATGATATGTACATATTGATGATATTTACATATTTTTTTATTTTTGTATAACAAAATAATAGAAATTATGACATTAAAAAATTATTATATATAAAATATAAAGTGCAATATTTTTTATAACAAATAAAATAAAGGTATGAGGAAGAATTCTGGATATAAAAAAGCGTAAATATATGTATTTATTAGCCACCCAACAAACAGATGACGTATTAATGACGTTAAAAGTACGTAATTTCATGACCACTGACGTCAAGTGACCTACAATGTACGTCTTTTGTACGTATAATTTGTCACAGAACTTTACGACCTTATGCACACATCTAATATATACTTATTCATTACTTTATTTAAATTTCATCTTTCGTATTTTTATTTAAAACATGGCATTTGTTATTGTGGAATTCGAGAATAATTCAACAAATGATGAAAACGAAGTAAGAATTGTAAATAGC